GGGGGACTTTCGATGTCCATCCCAAACGACACTGTTCTCAGCTTGGAGGGGAGAAGTGGTAGTGATCAAGGATAACCGGTTCGAAGTGTTCTGTCTGTCTGTCTGTCTGTCTGTCTGTCTGTCTGTCTGTCTGAGTCTCTTACTCGTCGTTATACTCACCCTCCCGCTGCCGACCGGCCTCCCGCCGCCGTCACGGCCATGCGGTGACAGGGAACGGCACCCCCTGCTCGCCCCGCTGCTTGTCGTCCGTGCCTGGCGACCGCACCCCTGCTGCTGCTGCTGCTGCTGAGAAATAGGGTGAAAAGTGACGGGACCGCGGCCGACGCCACCGATGTCATCGCCGCGGCCGTAGCGCCCACCGGCGGCCCCGCGGATTGCGAACCCGGAGCGGCCGCGGTTCGTCTTCGGAGAGAGGCTGCGGGAGCCTGTGTCGGTGCTGTGTATTCGCGTCGTTTTGGTTTTTTTCGTTGTCGGGGATGAAGCCGGTTTTTCAGTGGGGGTACAGTCACGGTGGGAAAAGGGGAAGAGCGAAGGATAAGAGGGAGCGGTGGCGAAAGAAGAAGCGTCTCTCGTGTAGATGCGTTCCTGAGGGCCCTGCAGCCGGTGAGGAATAGAAAATCTAGGGACAACGCGCCGTCGTGCTGCTACTTACTTCCGGTGGGGTATTGCCCGGTATCCAAGCACGTACCATGGGCCACAAGTGGACAATGAAAAACCTGCTCAAATGTTGACTTTAAGATTCGTTTCCAATCTAAAAATTTTTCCGAACTCCCCTGCACTACGTTCGATTTGCACTGGAAAAAAACATTTTATGTACACTACGAAAATAATCGAGTGCACCTCATGCCCCCCGATCGAAGCCCAAACGTCGCGGCCGCCCCATTCCCGTTCGCTGCCGCTGCCGCCCTACCGCGCAGGGAAGAAAGCATCGCCGAGGCGGGGGACACGCACCGCCTCTCTTTCCCCGGGAACGTGCTCCGTCCGTCCCCTCCCCTCCCGCCCACTCCTCCGGGCGCGGGGTAGGTGTTGCGGGTGAGAAGGTGCAGGTCGGGGCGGCAGCTCGCCGCCTCTTTGTTGGAGCGCGTGGGGTTTGTTCTGGCCATCGAAGACGCCAGTGACAGGAACGCTTTCGCCGTGGACGAGGTCCCGCTGAAGCTTTTAAGTCGGCGGAGGGTCACGTTATGTTGGTTTCGGGGGGACGGGGCGGGACGGGGGGGTGTACTCACAGTCGTGCATGCCGTAGTCGTTAGACCATTGACCTCGCATCCCTACAAAGCCGGGACGGAGCACGCCGGGTTCTCACCGGACCAGGCTCTCACATCACCAAGCGTGAAGCGCCGTGAGATATTCGGCGAGTCGCATGAAGGGTGCGCTGCATTCTGCTAAGGGTGTTCGGCATCTTGTGCTTACTTCCTTGCGTACGGATGGCAGCTGCGTATGACTTAATTTACTTTCTGGTGCTTTCACTTCCAGAGACAGTTGTAAGCACTGTGTAACTGCCTCGAGGGTGCTTGACCATTTTAACACAACGTGGTGCGATCATCCCCCTTGCGCGGAGTGAGGGTTCTCCACCCCGCACAACATGATCTACTCGACCACCATTATGGTTACCGCCAAAAAAAAAAACGGAGGTAAAAAAAAAAAACGGTAACCTGGTTGCCGAGTTCACGAAGTGAATTGGCTTGTTTTACAACGTCGTTGCCAGGCGACGAAAACCCAACCCCGATGGCAAAACACCGGGGGGGGCGGGGAGGGGATTGCCTGCCCAGCGCAGTGTTCCGTAGTCGTTCTTCGGTGGGACAGTGGGGTGGGCTTCTTGCCCAGGACAGTAATCCGTAGTCGGTGTTACCGTTGATTGTGCGTCCCCACGGAGACGGTACGGAGAGCGCATGAAGTGGAGAACATCTCCCAGGCGTTGTTGGTGAGACACAGCGTGACGAATGAGCTGCATCCCTCTGTCTACGGATTTGACGTCTCATGCGGGCTTGCGCCGGACAGATTGCCTGATGACTTTTTCACCCAAAGAGGCCGCAACCGACGCTGTAGCTGCCTCGCAGTTACCCTTCACTACTGTGATCGTCGTGACCCTCCTCTTGGCTCACAGCAATCAGCCCATCATCCACAATATCTAACCCACCGTCGTTGGTCAGTGCCGCGAAAGAAAACGCAAAAAAAAAAACGGAAGCCCGATTGGGTCTTGATGTGAGCGGTGTGCTACAATAGGCTAGAGAGAAAAGGGTGTGTTCATCGCGTTTGGTGGCTGTGATTTTTCAGTCTGACGACGGTGCGTGTATTCAGTAGCACCGACGAGTGTTGTTCAGGCCTAAGAGCCCCTTCGCACGCCAAGGAGAACAACGGCGGAAAAGCAAAAACGGTTTCACCGCCCTTGTTGGGGGCAGATGAGAGAGCTCAGAAAACAACGGACGTTGCCGAAACCTGACCTGGACCCGCTGGAACTCGGGCCTTCTCCGCCAACAACTCATCTTGCCCCCCTTACAAGGTTGTTGCTTTCGTCTGTTCATCTGGGACGGTTCGGTGGCACGTTCGTCATCCGCGAAAGCTATCCGATTTCCTCTCTTTGACTCACGAAAGGTGATACCGCAAACGACCATTAGAGAACTCGACATACTTCTGGACTTTGCATGGCCGTCCAATCATGTAATAATAGCTGCCTAAACGTTGCATGCATCAGCCACGAGTGCAACCTGTCAGAACCTCAATACTTGTTGAACACAACACGGTTGCAAGGCGAGATCCGCACTTCGCCCATCATGAACGTAGCTCAAGGAACTCGTACCAGTCTGCTTGCCACAAGCGCGACGGGGATGTCAACGGGTGAGGGTAATAAGAACGGGTCAAAGAGAGAACGGCAGTGTGGATACCTGAGGGAGCGCTCCCTCCGGACTTGGCTGCTCTGCGCCCTCATGTTGTAGGAACGTTTCGTCATGGGGTCCTGGCCGTTGCTGACGCCTGAAATCACGAGGAGGCAGGCCATCACGGGAGGGGTACGGTAGCCGAAAACTCGCGATGAATTTCCTTTGGATGGCGAACACCACACACATGTCGATACTGTAATCTCGTTATAGACCTTGAAGCCCTTCACAAGAAGCTCGTTCCGATGGGTCAAATCCTCACAAATTCTGACTTTTTTGCTTGGTTTCGTTGCAAAGGTGCCCACTGTATCACTTCCGTCATTTATTATCAAAGTCCTCACGAATTCTGAGTATTGGTGTGGTTTCGCTGCGGAGATGCCGATCGCATCAGCCGTGCCAGACGACCAAGGCCTTCAGAAAGGTGGGATGGCCAAAAGCCCGCTATTCCAAGCTGGCGTTTGGCAGAGCTCCACCGTGCGCTACACGGTCTCAGCAACCGTTAATATCGAAGCTCTTCTGAACGGCACCATGCCACACACGCGTCTGTAAAAGGTGCATACAGGACCGCACACAAAGATAAGGCATCGGGCAGGACCGAACACAGCACAATAAGTATCTTCTACACACATACAATAGTGTCCTTGGCTAACCGGAACGATGTCCTCCGTGACCGAGTTCGTCGCCCAGTTGATACGCCGTACCATTCAGACCGAGATCGCGAACAAGTACACTCCCGGGATTAGGGTGTAGGCTCACCGTGATATTCCCCGGGACCTATGCCGTTGGAACGGTGGCCGTCGTTGGCGCTACGAAGAAGGAGTACCCCGTCGCGCAGCGCGACTGATGGTTGACACGACCGAAGCGCGAACGAAGGCCGCAGGTAAATATGGTTGTTGAAAGAGCAGGAAGAGTTGCACGGCAGGAAGTCATAGTGATGCGAGGTCACTAGGTACGCCTGCAGTTCGGTTTTCGCTGAAGAAGCTTCGCAATGTTGCTGTTCAGGGGTGCGTAGCAGTGTCATGGCGTCGACGTGTTGGCTGCGATTTTTTCGGCCATGCGCTGTGCGCAATCACAATGGTAGAAGCGAATATATGTTGTCGAAAAACCGAGCTTGGTACACACAGGAGTGGCGTTTTCCTTTTCAGCCATATTGGTTCTAGACTTGCAGTTTTCGGACTAGGGCGATGGGCTATGCTTTCTTTATGGCTTCCAGCTGGTGGTTCGGGAATTCCCTGTTGTGCGAGCTAGTGGCGGGAATAGTTTAATCGACTTGTATAGCGTGTGGCATATCCAAGGTTCGAATGATGCACACAACCACACGGAAGTATATTTCGTAGACGCGACAATGAACCAAGACGGGAAATGAGATGGCATCGGAGCGGCTATTTCGTATGAACATTGCAACAACAGCGACCAAGAGGGCTTGACACAGCAAGGGAATCGAACCGTGTAAGAAACAGCTGAACTGTTGTTGATACCCCCGTAAAAATTTCGGGACGTGCTAGTTAGTACGCGATCGAACACGATGTCGTATCTGGTAAGCTCCTGTGTGGGTAGTCCAAGCTTCGCGTTCACGCTCTGCGGTACGACGCCCTTTAACACGTTGCCTCTCGCACGGCATACGCCCATCGCAACGCCCTCCACACGACATTACTATACCCCCACAACAGAACCAAAAGGCTTCCCCCGGAGTCGATACTCCCATTACGAGTATTCACCTCGTACAAGTTCCCTTCAGGCAAACCGCTCAAACCACATAACTCCTCTTGACGCCTCAGCTTCGTCAAACCCTTTGCCTGTCATCAAGCATGTCACCTTGAGCGAAGTCAACCATGCGAGGGGTCGTTCCCATCGAGGACGACACCGAGAAGCCGTTTCGGAAGATCGATAGGGGTATGCCGCCGGCGCTGCCCCTGAGGTCCCAAGCCTGGAAAGTTCGTACATTTTCAACACAAGCGGACAACGAACTTTGGTGGCCAGCAAAAGATGCACACCCGTGTAATATAACACGAACTGATGCGATTTCACGCAACGGAAGACAATGTTTCAAGACAAAGAGAACGCTACACACCGAATTCCACTCTTTGCATGGGAAACAAAAACACCAGCAGGAAACGTTTCGTCCCATCTATTTTTTTCTGGGCGACAGTCTAAACCTGTCGGTATGTTTTTTTCGCCCAGGCCGGAGGACGTTCGGGAGGACGGTAAACTGAAGGGTTTCTAGTGTTGTTGGTTTTCTCCTCCGCTTTTCTCTCTTCGGTAAAGGGTCAGAAGGCTACGAAGTTGTCGCCCGGAACGACCCGTGATAGCAAGGTAGGGAAACATCGATAGACCAACCATTCCCAAGAAGAATGCCCGGACACTGTAAAGGGTCAGTTCGTCATCCTTTGACGGGCCGCTATTCCTACCAACTAACGTGGTCACACCAGGCGCAAACCTCCGCAACCGGACCCTGACATTCGTATGCATATACACATGACCAAGATATTCTCACGGAATGAACGACGAGGCGCATGATACGACGGAGCGTTCAACAACAACGGCCGAACGGTGCTTAGAAGCATCGGACGATTTGCACCTGTCGGCCGACCGCTCCGGAAGAGGGCTTGGCCGTCCTTCCTCGCTCGTGGTCGCTCGATATGATGGACGGCGAGTAGGCGCCGGGACCCGGGCCCGCGGCCAGGAACGGAGAGGGGTGGAACCAGACCCCGTTGCGGACAACAGAACCAGTCACGTGCCTTAGCAGTTCCAGAAGCCGAACGCAGGGAATTCCAAGTTGGTTTTGCGGGACGCCCTGCATGGACTCCCCATGTGCAGGCGTACTCGGTCTTCTTTGCGTGTTCATGCGGTCTGTGTTCCAACAAAGGATTGTTGCTGTATGTTTGGGCTACATTTCACCACATATCACGATTGCTGTACCCTTCTCGCGATAAAAATATCTCAAGCAGGAACCGCAGGAGGGGGTCCAACCCCCCCCTCCTATGTGACCCCGGTTGGGTCGTCTAGCTGGTAGAAGTGGAGGATAGGGGCCAGAGGGGCAGACGATAGAGTCCAACGATGGGATGGGAGACAAATATATATATATATAATATACATATCACGCTATAGATGTTTACAGTGCCTGCAACTAACCGAGGTTGGCAAAACATCATCTGTGGAGAAGCTACGGGATGTACAGAAACGGCGTCGAGAGGTAAGCTTCATCGACGTTCATACCTCTGGTGTTCCGTACTTCTTGGCGATAGCGGAGGATCCATGTTGGATCGTCTGGAAGTGGACACGCCGATGTGGCCGAAATCCTTGGACTTGGCCATGCTCGGACTGATGAAAAGATTGAGTCCCAACGGATCCACAGTAGGGCATTGGCGACAACGGCGACAGCGACACGACCGGAAGAAGGGAATAGGAACAGCGGTAGGAGGAATAAGGCGTGAGTAAGACGGAGTACCGCGAGTAGCGTTAGAAGCCACGATTGTCGGCAATCCAGAGGATGCGCAAAATGGATAAAACGTATGCCAATAAACACATGCATCCGTAGTAGAAGGACCACGTCGTCGTGTGGTGCCAGAGTACATCCAGCAGGAGAGAATCTAGACTACATCACCAGAAACAAATCAAGTCATGTTGTTTCGTACAAACCTAATCCATTAGAGATATTGTCTAACAGCTCAACAGTTTGAGGGAGCTAAATGTTGGTGCACTGATCTACTGCTGTACATGTGACACTCATGGCGGCAGCCCCCACATTTCGGGCTGTGGGGATGGCTTGTTCTCATGCGACAGGCTTGGGTCCGATGCTACATATGTACATATAGTAAACAAACGTGCAGCGGCGCCTGTATTGCGGACAGTTTAGACTACCCCCGTCTCATCTTTGAGTCCAACCACGTCGTATACTAGCTGGCTTCACCAACCTTAGGCCGCTCATTGGAGCCGAACGCCCGCTGATCTGGCGTTCACAGGCCCGACGCTGTGAATGCGCCGAGTGAACCGCTCAATACACTGGAGGTCAACCCGACGTTGTCGATGCTCGAGACTTCGGAAAACGCGACCAATTTCACCAGCAGCATCTCAAATAAAACCGGTTGTCACCTTACCACGTGTGCTTACCTGTATGTTCCTGGGCCAACATGCTCTTCCGTCGCGTCTTTCACGCGCCGTACAGTGTCGCCCACAACGATGAGTGAATCAAACCTCTTGGCATCGTCGAATAGCGCTGACATCGTGCGTCGGTGCTACTGACCACAGCGTCCTACCTAACCGGTTGCACACCGCGAGAGCCGCGAAGGCACGCCGGTGGTGAATATCGTCCAACCGTCACAGTGCTAGCTAGCACACAGAAGCAGTGCTGGGACAGGGCGATATGTCTCCCGCCTTCAACGATAGCTCTGGGGTGCCTGGTGAAAGATTGCGCCGCATTTTTGTTGCGTTTCGGCGAAAAATTATTTCCTAAATCCCGCCCCCTACACATGCACACTTTAAGTAATACTACTTTGTCGCTGCCAAGGGAGATGCTATAACGACAGAGTAGCTGGGTAGGAATTGCCTTCATTCCACCCTAAACTTTTTTCTACGAATACAAATCAATCTGCATATTTCAGGGTGTGTATGCGTCCCATCGTCCCATAGTCTACATGGTTGGGTCTTATCTGACGCATCACGCGTGCTCACGCAGGAAGGGGCGACACCCACCAAGTTACACCCACTCGAGTTACGCATCTGTTATCTTCTTTTTTGCGGCGTGCCTAGTTTCTTAGCGACAAATGTGCCGCCTTTTCCTCATCCAGATGCTTCAAGAACAGAGTGTGTACAGTCGAACGGGTTGCTTTCACGTGATCGCTTTTTACATTGCGTTTGAATCCCAGTTCGCGTGACGTTGCCGAAATTTGAGTTTTCGTGCCAGATCCCAGACGTCAGAATGCTGCCAGATTACAATGTTCACAATGCAGATCACCAAATGAAGCACTCAATGTATGCATGGGTCGTGTTTTCATCCCATCTAGTTTTTTCGTACCACAGCGGGGTCATACTATCAGAGGAAGGTGAACACCGGAGTTTTCCTCGGCGTTTTTTCTTCTCCGCCTTTCTTTTGTACCCCCCCCTGCGGTGCTTACCTTCAGGAATTCACATGATAACGCGTGTCCCCTACAAGACTGACGAGGTCCGATCCGGGGTCACACATGGGTTTTTCTGCGGTGCACGCCGTGCGCTATGCAGATACAACCATGGCAAGGGTTCCGCCGTCCTTCCCTCAAGAAGCATGAACATTGTCGATTGTTGTTGTTGTTGTTGTTGTTGTTTTTCTTCACATTAACTCGTGTCAGTTGCTAATCCCAAAATCTAGCAAAGACTCGGTCCGTGGTCACAAAAATGCTAGAGCCATCAGAAGATCTGAAGAACACACACTATTAGCAAGGAAAGGGTGCGCAAGCCCGAGGAGGTACACCTGCAATCCCTGCAGCACGTTTGCGTGCTCACAACTGAACTACACGCCCACACACTACAAATCGACAACAGCAGCAGCATCACCCCCCTTGTCCCGCATTTAACCAAAATGAATGTTTGTCGACTACAGCGTACTGCTGTCTGAAGTGCTGTCTGTACAATAATAACACCATGGTGCATGGTACACAAGCTCGGGGCATGGAGCTGCTGTCTGAAGTGCTGTCAGAATGAGCCCGTGGACATACAATGAAGAAGAACGCCCAACCAAAGCCATCATTTCAATTGACTTAGCCCCCCTTTGTAATTCACATGTTGGCGAATCCCACGCTTTTTTTTCCCCGTCAAAAGCCGCGCCCGACAAATTGTCCAGGGTCACTCAAACACACTACATCAAGCATACTACATTCGAAGCTCTGTTTACAACCGAAAACCACCCACGTCATTCCATAACCGACAAGATAATCTCAAGGTCTGCACGGACACAACAACATTCATTCGAAGTGAGTAGGCATATTGGCGATTATATTTACATCCAATCCATTACATCTTCCTGTGACCGTATTTACTACACCGGCGAAGCCTGCCCAAGAACACGCAGGCCGTCGCATCGGAAAAACATTTGCAGCGCTAAGTACAACGGGCTGCGGTCAAAAGGCCAATCACTACCTGGCGCGGGTGTTTACTTGAACAAGGCCTTGAGGTCGTCCAGAGAGAGCGCTCTCCTCTCCGAGGTCGCCGCAACGCCCCCGACAATCGAAACCTCTTCCTCCTGTTCTACCACCTCTTCCCCCTCCTCCTCTTCCTCCTCGTCCTCCTCCTCCTCCTCCTCCTCCCCCTCTTCCTCCCGCGGTATACTTCTGTCTTTTTCTCGTCCCCCGGATTGACCACCGGCACCGCCGATCTGCGGTTGCTCTCCCCCTGTTGCAAGCCTCCCGGTCGAACACTCGCCGGCCCCCGCTGCCCCCCGCCGGTGCTGTTCTTCGAACGCTGGATTGCCGTTTGCTGTGCCAGCACTTCTAACCCCGGCCTCGACTCCCTTCCCTTCCGATACTTCCATGCCACCTGCAAGGCTTCTGGCTGCGTCAACTGCGGCGCCGGCGCCGGCGCCCCGGCGCCCGGGAGAGGACGGGTCACTCTTCGCTTTGCCCTTGCCCTTGCCCTTGCCGCGCAGCTTGCGTGTCGGTGATTGGGGGGAGTTGGCGAGCCTCGCGAGCGACGTCTTTTTTTTGCGCAATCTGCATGGATGG